CAGAGGTAGAACACTCTCTATCCATTCCAATCCCTGTCTTCTTGTGGTATCCTACACTCAGTGCGGTTTGACCACTCTCACAAGATATCAAAATGTCAGTCAGTCTCAACTTGATCGCCTTAAAATACAAGTCACAATATTGCAGCTATCCTGAAGGAGCTTCGTCACGTTCAATTTTTCAAGATTGTTATTTACATATTCACATTTACCTTCTCCACCCCAAGCTGTAATTGTACCATTACAGTTCATTCTTACCTGCGCGTTTTTTTTTCATTTCCTAGCAAACCATGTTTTCGCCGTTTTTCATTATGGTGCTTGAGACTAAATTAAGACATAGACTGATGTTTCCTCTGCGTGATGTGTTAGTAGCTGAGAATCGCTCTTTGGCGCGGAGACAAACCTTTAATTAATGAAATGAAAACGTTTAGTATTGACCTTTACAGGTGGCGATATTGTAGCCTTAAGCATCTATTACTAACATCCTGCGGACATATTCAAAATCCGCACTGAGCTTGGCTCAGAAAATATGTAAACTTCGTGCGCCACTAGCACGTTCGACGAAAACTGACATTGCTCTTGAATCCTGAAGTTGAAGAGTTCTTTTATAGTTTTTGCGGTCAATATACAATGCACATTTTTTTCCCGTTGTTTTTCGTTTCTCATACAAGCAGTTTGTTATAAATTTTCCTACGGAGCAATGAACGACTGACGATGAACTTATCATCTCAAGATGGCAAACGTTTACCTTTGAAAATTTTTAAGCAAAGGATAAGTTATTTCTTGCAGGATGCTATAAGCCTGTAATATTTTACGTGTTTTAGGTGAGTTAATTAACTAAAAATTTGCGTTTTCTTCCTCTTTATCAAACAACTTTTCATGCTTAAGTAGATCTACGTGAGGGTGTATCCTATTTTTTCAATTTTGTGGTTCTAATCCTCCAAAAACTTCTCCGCCCTTAACTGACATTCAGTTTAATTCTAAATTTCTCTCTTTTCGTATGTTTATATTTTGTGGTTTCCTGTAAATCAAAGGGAATTAACGTAACGAGGTCTTTTAAAATTCTCTTTACCATCCAATACCCTTACACCAATACAAAATCACGATCAAGTTAAACTCGTGTTTAAAAGGAACTGACTCTAAGTTTTACTACGAAACCTTTTCACGTAACCAGAACGTCTTTCTCCATATTATGTAATTATATACTAACTCTGACTGTCTCATGAGGAACTCACTGATTAAGTTCAATAACTACCACCCTCGTCACGTTTTGTAAAAACACCCGCTCCCCTCTCAATGTTGAGTTTTCTTCGGGCAGTCCAATTTTCTCGTTACCAACATTGACAAGGAAGTAGGAGTGACAATATTGGTTTGGCAGGTTGGAGAAAGGGTTATGAAATATTTAAAATGGAACGATGGAAAACGAAGGCGAAATTCTTTGTTTTCGTGGGCGGATACGGTTTCCGTCAAACATGTGGGATAATAAGTTATTTCAAGTTTTGAGTGAGAGACCAAGTTTTGGTTAGACCGAACTAAATTACCTTGGATATACAATATCTTCATTAAATAGTTCGCCTGATCTCCACAGCTTACCAACTTTGTATGTGCAACTTAGGGGACACAACGGAAGAAATATTAAAAAGCTCGACTTCATAATCGGATCATCGTCACTCAAGCTGTTGGTCGTAATACTCAGTCCCCGAGAGATGATTGAGCCTTTTTGAAATTCCATCAATCCCACCACCTCCGGCCGCATCAAATCAAACTGAAGCGAAATTCTTATATTGCAGGACCTAGAAAGAGCGCATGCGCCAGGAAACAACTGCGGTGAGTCCTGCGGTGAGGGCTGGAGCTCCTTCAGATTACCTACTATTAAGCGGAAATTGAGGTTGGAGAAAAAGTCAGCTTTTAGTTGACCACAAATGCCGCAAACAGAGACATGCAACCGCATGAAAAACAGTGCTGATGAAGAAGTGACCGAATTCGACTCCAGTCGCGATTAAGAAATCTTCATAGCTTTAAGACGAAATGCAAGAGTGTTTACCTAAATAATCACCGAATTGGCCAAGCCGCACTTTAGTTCTGCGTCAGTGGGAGAGTATATGACAAGGTAATTTGGCATTATCAACTTAACTGATTACGTAAGTTGGTCACCGTTTAGAATATCAGATCAAAGCTGACGTCGTCAGAGCAGAGGGCTGATGCTCGAAACTTCAGCTTTGAAACTCTTAACGGTGGCCAGTTTACGTTATCAACTATATTGTTAACATATTGTTGTAAGTTTTTAATTATTAAAAAGGCAAATTAATGATGATAATAAAGAAAGTTACGCGGGTGAAGTCCTTAGGAAGATGGCAATTAAGAGAAATAGCAAATTACTCGAGATATAGAGTAGATTTTTTTCACGGGCGCAACATTCTGATTTGGCCGTTCTGTTTGTTTAAATAAGCGATTCGTTTTCTTGAATAGAGCCAGGAGTAGGAGATCAGCTGCCTCTTGAAAATCGCCAGCATCTGTTTTAGCTGACAGATATGTTCACTAGTGCTGCATACAAGGCACAGAAATGAAATGGCTGCATTACGGCGCATTTTGTTGCTCACCTAAGCTGACGGAAGTGTAACTTTTCAACATTGATAGTAACTAGAAATGCAAGTATCTTTGTTTACTCAGGTCAGTCAACTACACTTTTGTAGCGTTTTTACGTCTGACTGAACTTTTGCCCCTACGAAACCTGGTCAAGTCTTTACTTTTCTACTTGAGAGGGGACATTATTGCTATGTAAGTTTCTCTTCTAGTTGAAACATGACCTTGCGGTGGACTGGAACACATTGGTCTTAGCCAGGAGTGGTCTCGGACGAAAATGCTCATTGCTGCGAGATGGCGGATAGAATAAATAGTGGAGGCGAGATTCGGGATTAGAATAGTCTATTGTGGACCCTCAAGGTCGAGAGAACTCGGTTTCAACAATTTTAACGAATATTACGGGTACACTTACCTGCTTTCAGTTAAGCCAATATTTTCACGTAAAGAGACTTTCACTACATTATATTTAGCACAGAGATGTAAAATATATATAAATGTAGATAGGATAAGCAGGATGTCGCTTTCTTATCGACAGAGCGTAATTTTGCTATTGACTCTCAGTTTGAGGCCGGAATACACACTTCTGGAACGAAATATTAGATAAAAAACGAAAAACCTCAAATTCATTATTCACGGGATCTTGACAAAGATTACGACAACGATTACTAGTTGAGTGAGGGGCGGAGAAAGTTTGGTGACGGGGTTTTGACCGTAAAATAATATTATCAAGGCCAAACTTCCTCGTTTCCTATGGCAACTGAATCTCAAGAGCTGTGCGTTACCAATTGTTAAACGTGAAACCCCGTTTCCCCTGGAAACGGAGCCAGTTTCCCGTGAAAGCAACGCGATTTTAACCTCAAAAAATCGTCCTCAAACTTCCCGCCTCGCTCAACTAAAGTCGACGTAACATCTATTATGCATGATGAGTTGTTCTAAACCTGATTTCTATTAAGAGACGGTTCTTTAAATCAAATTACAGCTTTTGAATTTGTATATTTGCGATTTGATTATATTTACACGAATGTGTGGTTTTAATTAAATTTTGCAAGGGAAACTTCCAGATGTACTTGTATCCTTTTTCATTTCCCACTGATTGTAATCAGCTTGAGGTAAAAAAAAGAAAAAAAACTCCGACTCAACAGGAAAACTGCGTGAGCAGTAGTAATAGGATAAGTTAATTTTGGCTGATGACATCGTTTTGAATGAATTTTGATCAGGATTTTCATATCTTGTGGTGTTTTGCACCTGTTTCTATAACAAGGCCCAAGGATGTTATCAACTTAATAAGCTTGACTTGAATATGTAAAGCATGAAGAGGACTTGAAAATTCTATTAGGAAGGCCTCTAACTTTTTCAGGTTGTCACAGGAGCTAAATTGTGGATATAGACAGGGCCGGAATGTAAAGTAATGGTCAACTGGCATAAACTGAAGATCATGGATCCACTTTACTGATGAAGCACAAACTGCGAGCGACTGGATGCTATCTTCAGTCAAATGGACAATAACTTACTCGGCTTTAAATTGGCAAATTACAATTTTAGAATTGGTATATGTATATAAATATATATAGACATATAGTTTAAGAGTGAAACGATCTATAATTTAAAATAGGATCAAAGTAAAACTTGTTAGATAGCAGCAATATAGTATTTTCAGCTAAAAATCATGTCTAACCCATTTTTAAACCTCACCTGTTCGAAAGCAGTCAGTGACTGTAAATGTACTAAAGTTAAAATAATTCGGGATTATAGAGATTTCCTGGTCTCAAACTGGTCAAAAGGTTGCTATCTTCTCGTTTAGATTGCAAAGGTCTTTGACTTCTTCAAACGCAATTTCAATTTAAGCTCGGCTCATCCAAAGCAAATTTTCAAATCTTTCACCATCCACTGTCGGTGATCACCATGCGCTAAAAGCTTACATATGTCTTTTCCTATAGAATACGTCGACCAATCATGGCGGTCGTTACAATCGGAATGCCCCAAGAAATTTATTTAAACCAATAGCGTTCTCTTGAAGATCTTGACTCAGAAGTTGTCTGTCTTACTAGCCCTCGTCATCAGAGATTGGTTCTATGCCATGTTTTGTTTTTTGTATACACAGGTGATGCAGTTTGACATGACATAGAAAAATATGCAAAAAAGGAAGGGAAATTCAGAAGTGCGATGGGACAATGGGATGCCATCTGATACAAAGCATTTTGAATAAACATCTGTTATCGTTGAGCAAACATCTTCTCTTCAGATCAGCTCACTCTTAATTAAAACTTATGTGATGTTTGGAATCGCTAGAGCCATCGATTTTATCTAAGGGACACGTAACATCAAAGACTTTCTTTATGCAACTCTAGCCCTCATCCTTATCAATTTTTTTGTTTAAATTCATCTTTTATTAAGTATTATCTTGTTTGAAATCGGCAATTATGGAATTTTTGCCCAATATTACCCTAAACTTGTCGGACGATGCTGTGGGAAAGATTTGCTTCAACATGAACGCAGCTTACTTCAAAATTGGCGACTTCCTGAACTGGTATATCGCAAATTGTGTCGTGGGAACTCTCTTGGCAATCGCTTCCACCTTGGAGAACTTTTGCATCCTACTAACCATTTGGAAAACATCTATTCTAAATACGCCTTCGTATGTTATACTTTTTAGCCTAGCGCTCTCAGACCTTGGGGTCGGTTTATTAAGCCAGCCACTGGCTGTCATCAACTCTGTAGCCAAAATACAAGGACGTATCGGCATGGCATGTGTTTCTGGAGCTGCTGTTGCTGCCTCGTCCACTTATTTATGCGGTGTTTCTTTGTTATGTGTCACTGCAGTGTCTATCGACCGATATCTGTCGCTTCATCTTCACCTAAGATATAAACAGTTAGTGACAAAAGTTCGCGTCCTTCTTCTTGTCGTTCTTATATGGCTGCTCGCAGCACTTGCTCTTATTGCATGGCCGTGGTATCCTTTCATTATAACCCCCATTGCGATAGCTGTTGGTTCACTCTGTATCCTCACCACATCCGGCTGCTTTTTTCGAATCTATCTTGTCTTGCGGTATCACCGCTCGAAAATGCGTCATAATATCCGATCTTCGATTGAACAGACCACGTCAAACACACAAGATTCGGCGGTGCACTTTAGGAGGTCAGTAACAGGAATGTTCTTGGTTTATATCATCCTTCTTTTCTGTTATCTACCGTACCTGTGCATAGTTTCTGTGATTGCAGTGCGAGGCACAAACACAACTAACCGGCTTTTGTTTGAATTAGCAAGAACCCTAGTCTATGCCAATTCTACCATCAATCCCTTTATATACTGTTGGCGCCTCCAGGACTTGAGAAGAGCCATCAGATTACGTTTTTCTTGCGTTTAATCAGCGGATTTTTGCTCTCTAGTCAGTAGGTATGAAAAGGAAGTATGGATTTAGATCAATTTACACGGCTATGTAAAAAAATTCAGAGGACTACAGACTATATTGTACCATGTATTAACAGACTACAGAATTTGTTGTACTTTGTATTACCAGAATATATTTTTGCCTCAGTAGGTCAACTTTGAGCAATGCACAGGTTAAGGATTGATATACAAGACTTAAAGCAATTTCTAAGTTAAAACAGAATTAAAGTTTAACTTGTTAAATGAGAACAACGTAATCTCCAGCCAAAATATACATATACGCCGGAGTGATGCCTACTATTAACCGCACCTAGTCTCAAGAGTGCAAGCGCCTGTATTGAGTCACACGGACCCTTGATCACAGAGGCCTTTTTCGGTCTCAGATTTTCAGTAGAAAATCATCATTTTGCTGAGTGTGCGATAAATGTTAGCCTTAGCTGGAAAAAAATCGACCATCTAAGATTTGCTGGTAAAACTTCTCTGAATAAACACCAATGCGTCGTGTTCGTCGGTTTTGAATGCTTTCTTAATTCACAGGATGGTATTGGATGTTTGACCTATGAGAGAATCTTGATAAGTATCCCAGTTTAGTGCTTTATTAGTTCTGGAATGTCGAAAGGACCTCTCTTCCCATCGTAACTACTGTCTGTGTATGCAGCTAAACCTGAGCAAACTTGATTTTCATTCTCACGAGATATTTTCATTCGAAATATTTTTAACAGAGTACGTTGTCCAGAAGTTCATGTCTCACTGTAGTCAGTTGGTAAATATTTTCAGTCTTGACCTATTTGACCTGATAATAGTATTGGTTTTTTTTTACGGGACTTTATAGAATTAGTGATTAAGTGACATAGTTTGATGTCTTTTTGCTATTCGTATTAAAGCCATGCCAAATCAATGTTTTTGCAGCTGCATAGAGCATTAATACCTTTATTGTTGCTTTTATAGTTTCACAACTTGTTGCGTGTTGTTCCAGAAGTGTGACTTGTATACCAAGTAGTTTCCAGTTTACTAATGAAAAAAGGTGTTACAATTGGTTGGTCTGTCAGTCTCCGAGAACGCACTGTTTGCACTTATTGTAAATTGCCATGACACAATTTCCTTTTAACTGTATTTCTGTGAACTCTCTATAGTTTATCTTTGATATTTTTGACAAAATTAAACCTCATAGCTTTTATGATGCTCACGTTAGTTTGTTTTGGCCAAGCAACGTACGAACGACAATGGAATTTTGACGAGAAAAATATTTTGACAACGTTTACTAGGTCAAAGGAAATTATGCTAACCATGAAACTACTTGACAGGGGGACAATTGTTTAACTCTTTCAGTTCATTTATTCTACTTCACAGATAACCGCAGAAAATTGATAAAAATCCCGTCTATCGTTACCCAATTGGGATTCTACAACCCGGCGTTTACAGGGGTCTGAGTACTAGGGCTCAGTCTCTCGTCAGCTGTGCATACAAACAAATTGCCACGCACAAGGAGTGAGGGAGGGCTACTGATCAACCTGTGTTTTGCTGAGATTTCAAGTGTTTTTCCTGTACTTGTTCCCATTTGAACATCAGTTGGCTCTAATGGAATGACTCTAGCGAGGAGTGAGAGAGAGTGGACCATTCTAGTAAACGAAGTAAGTGATTTTCAGAGCAAATCAGCTGATCTATGAAAATATCAGTTAGCAACGTATCGTTCGGCATAATAACGTAGTTTTTATTTTTTACTTCTTCTGTTGTAAGAAACAGAGAAACATAACCTCTTTACCTGAGGTACCTATTCATACGTTTCATTTGCTTAAATTTTTAGTGTAGTAAGTCAATTCCTCCGTAAAGATCATGAATTTGCTGGAGGGGCCACAAGAATTACCATCTTCTCAAATAATTTATGAATGCTACAACAATCGATCGACTCCATGTTGTTGAGCGAACACATTTTTCTTTGTCACGTTTTATATTTGGAAAGCTCATAGGTGTACAGAGTCTTAAAGAAACAAGCATGTTTTTTTTAACTACTATGCGCCTCGTTACTCGTTATTTACATTTGTTTTGATTCAGGATGTGAAAGACAATGGATTTAATTGTTTGTATCTACAGCTGTCTATGGTTAAAAAATTTTGTAGAATACAAACTATAGTTTGTGAAATTTATAAACTTACTTTTGCTGCAAGGGTGTTCCAGTTTTTATCTACACCCTGTTGAATATAATACATGAAGAAATCCAAACCTCTAATGTGAGGTCAATTTTACCTTCAAAAACTAAATCAGGAGTGTTACTGTTGTTGCTATTACTTTTATTTGGTGCCTATGAAAAAACTGCTTAAAAGCTTCAAATTTTAACTTTACAAAGAAACAATCTAAACTCCCTATAGAAAACCCATCATTCTGATGAAAGAGGGTTGCATGTAAAGTAGAATCCACCCTGATCCCTTCATACAATACTCTTCAAAAGAAAGTTGGCAGTCTGTACTCAAAACTTGATCCTCAAGTTTCGAGTTGAGTATTGAGAATCAAGGATCAAGAAATGAAAATATCTTGATTATATCATAGAAAATATCATTGAGTATTGAGAATTGAGAATCGAGGAGCAAGACGTGCCAAGAACTTTTTGAGACTTAACTCAATTGGCAGTTTTGAGGAAATAATTCAGTTCTCACACTCAGTTTAATGTAAAACAGTAAACTGCTCTGTAGTTATTGCTTTTAGTTTCATTTGTTTTCAAACCATCATTTTGTCTAGCAATATACTGTCAGTCTTTTAAAAAAGATGATTGTTTTAAATTCTTTATGACATGTTACACATAAACAAAAGCCTTTGTCATACCTGTGGCCATTTCAAAGGGTGTCTACTTTAAGAGCTTTATCTGTGCATACTTCACATGCAGGTGCATATCTCTTATTAATAAAGGGACATTTAAACCTGTACAGTTGACTTCTGGTAACAAGAATCCTCACTAACTTGACTGTGACTTACATGTAACTCAAACCAAAGTTGATCTTCCTTAGTTTTCTGTCATAAATTGATGTTGATTAAAACCCTTGATAGATGTAGTTCAGTCCTTTGATAACTCAAACCTCCCACTAACTGACAGGAACTCTTATTCCCCTTTAGATTTTATTCTTCACAAATTTATCCTCATTTAATAACTAGAACATGTTTACAGTCAGTGATAAGGCAAAAGACAGGTAAAAAACAAAGTATATCATGGGCCAAAACTTTGGACCTATTTTGATCCATTGCACTAAACAGCCTGACAGTCTAGTTAAGTTTTGTTAATCTAACTTCCAACTTGATTTAACTTGTGTTTTTGTAAAACTGGTAAAATGCTGATACAGGTATATTGCATCTCCACTAATGGTTACTCCATACTGTTGAGCACTGCCTGAGCAGAAATAAAGTAACATTTCCCCCTTTTTAGGAAATTTTTTCCCTCAGCTCCCCAGTATTGTTTCAAACTCCCAAAAAACTCAAACCTTGTTCAATACCTCTGAGTTATCAGTAGTTGAATATACTGAGAGGTGCAGAACATTGTGTTTTAACATGAAGTATAACATCTTTATTATACTAATGGTACAGCTCATTTTTGATTGATTTCTTCTTTTTTTAATGTCAGTTTAACATTTGTAAGAAGAAGTTGAATAGTAAAAGGGAGGCTTTAAAGATCCTAACAAGTGACTTAGAACTTTGTCAGAGGGAAAGGGACATTTACAAAACAAAGATCAAGCAACTGGTAAGATGTATGTGGGGTCAAAAGTCTTACAAATTATTCTGTACATAGCAGTCCTATGTGATTGCTAACTTCTTCAAAAGTGTCTCAGGAAATCTACCTTGTGAAATTGAATGTAACAGATAAGTTGTTTACAGAATGTGCACAGATCATTAAAGTAACAATAAAACTAATAATAACAATTACTTTATTTTTTGTTACAAAAATGGATTAGCTGGTACAACAAAGTAAAAGCTAATAATTACAAAGTTGTGTTGCAATAATTGATTAATATCCAAATGATATGATAGATTTGAATATGGAAAGCTATTATAAAGAATTTTCTTAGAAAGTCTAGGTTACTGTCAAGTGTTTAGTTACAAGTACAAGATGTGATCCTATTTTGTTTTGTTTTTGTTTTTGTATTGGTATTTGATATTCCTCTTCGTAATTGCCTAGCTCAAAGAGGTTGAGGATTACAAACGCAAGGAGAAAGAGGAACAAGCTCAGAAATCGAATCAGTCAACACCAGTTAAGAAAGTAAGGGAATTATCTCTACTGTGTTATTGATCTCAACACACCATGGATCAGATCAAAAATTATATCACATCCTACATTGTACCATTATCATTCTGTGTGAGCTGATCATACTGTTTAAATAATTTTTTTCAAAATAATCACCACACTTTTTTTGAAAATTTTATTTTAAAGTTTCCAAGCAAAAATAAAATAAAACAGAATGTAGTTTCTCTGATAATCAACTATCCTACTCTTACCAGGTTTAATATTTTCTAATCACAGTACAGTCTACATGAAGGTCACACAGTTAAAGTGGTTTATACATTGCACTAACTTGTTTGAATTTTTTGTTTAAAATTTTTATAAATCAGTGCTGTTTTATATGGTCCCTTTCTCTTGTTCACATGTACATCATTACAATCTGAAACAGAAGAAAAAATAGTGAAAACTGTATTGTACATTTTATGACACTTCTTTAACTATATCACCAGGTGGACTATTACTACAGCTTTGGTATCATTGTTTGAAGTTAAAACCTCAACTCATAGCATACAGTAGCAACCTCTTCTCTATACAAGTTATATGTACATGTATGTATGTGATCCTGACTCCTATCATTTCAATTTTTTGTAGAGACTGTCTTTCTCTGGTCAAAGTGTTTGGGAGCAAGAACTTAGACATGTGCGAGAAAGAAAACAGAAGGTTCGCTTGATATCTTTTTCTCATCACTGTAATATGCAAAAGGAAAAACTCATTTCCATGGAAATGTACATTCAGGGCCTGAAATTGTGCCTAATACAGGCACCAATGCGACTAAATTTTTCACTTTGGCAACCAAATCCTGAAAATTAGTTGCCAAATTGGCAACTGGAATGCTTCATCATAACCTTACATGGAGATATAGTAAATTAAAAAGATTTTCAAAGATAAATCTGTGGCAAACTTCTTTATTAAGTTTGTTTCCAAAACGCAGCACATGCATATCGATCAATAACTAGATGCCATCTTGGATTTAGGTGAGCTTCAACATTGTATTTCATCACTTTGTAGCATGTTAAAGATCTTTTTCCTAACTTAATTTTAGAGGGTCTAATAAGTATCTAGAAATGGTGACCAACTTTTTTAAAA